AAAAAAAAAAAAAGATCTGTGCTGTGCTGAAGACAGCTGCACAAGCTCCAAGATGAGAAGACAAGGAGCAAGTTCTGCTGAACTCCATATGGCAGCAGGAGGACCAACAAGGCGCCTCTCGTCACGTCTGGTGAGCTTTGCCGGTTGCTTCGTTTATTGGCCGCTTGTTCCACACCAGGGGCCGCCTAGGAGCTGGTGTATATTTATTCATCAATCTTTTCATTAGGTGGTGAGGTGGGCTGCCTTCCCATCCTCACTGACCTCTCAGGGATGCAGAGACCCAGAGGGAGCAAGCAACGTCTGTCCAAGCTGCCTCGAATTGATCAGAGGTGAATTCAAGCCGCCCGTGGTCTGGTTTCAAGGACTGTGCGCCCCGACTGTTAGGTTTTTAAACCTATGTTGATAGCAACAGTTGCCTCGATTGTTTAAAAGCTAGTTTTCTCTGATCTAAAGGTTACTAAAAATAGAAGTTCTCTAACCACTTCCACTTCAGGCAAAACCCTTGTCACCTAGCTATTCCTGGTGTTTAATAATGTATACGGCCTCCTGATTGGACTTCTGGCCTTTAGAGAGGAGGCTTCCGGGCTCTGAATATGTATGAAGCACACATCTGCTGGTGTCTGGCCCATGAAATGCATGAGAGGACACCGTGTGTGACAGAGCCAGCTCGCTGGGCCAGGAGCGAGTCCTGTTGTCAAGATCCTCTCTGTACTGCGATTGCTCCCATCACACCATGATGGTCTGGCCACAGAAGGGGTCTTGGTTCCTTATCACTTAAATCTGAGAAGGCCAGAGCCAGAGCTCAGACACCCAGAGGCCTAGTAGGCCTGAGGTGAACCAGCTGTGAGGACGCGCAGGACCTTTTCCTGCCACAAGGTGGCGGGCACGCCCCTACCCAATCAAAAAGGGCCCCACTCTTGAGGCATCCCCTGCACCTCCTGCACCTCCTGCACCTCCTGCACCTCCTGCACCTCCTGCACCTCCTGCAACAGCCAGCTTCCTCCGTCTCCTCTTCAACTCCTATATCCCCAGTAACAGAAAGAGCAAAACAGCAAGACAAGAAGACACCACTGGAAAGCCTGGTGGCAAATGCCAGAAGGACAGTCATAGCCAGGCCGAAGGGAGGACACTGCCCACAGCCTTGACCCAGCGAGGTGAGTCCCCAAGGACCCAAGCGACTCCCTCCTCCAGGCAGATCCGTGCTGTGCTCTGTCCTGCAGGACCCTGTCCCCAAGTCCATCCTGGGAGTGCCAGTGGTGTCCGTAATGTTGCCTGCTTTCTACGTGGAAATAGTCTTTGGTTTTGTTTAGTAGCTGCGCTCTGTGCTTTACTGGACCTCAGAGACCCTAATCATTCAGATTCTCCTTTCAGTTAATTTGTTCTCTGTGGCTCAGTATCTCTTCCTCAGTAGCTGATTTTGTCATAAATCATTGGTTTTGTTTCACATAAAGTATAAATGTCTTTTCGTACAGCCTCTTAGTGAGACGGCCGGGCCCGATTCACTTTCCTGTCCTTTGGAAGTGTG